CAATTCTATATATATTAACAACCGGTTACTTCTTTGATCTTGCAAGAGACACTCAACATTTTTCTTATAATGAACATCTCGAATTCAAAACTCGTATTGGAAATGTCGATGAGAGCGAATGAAGATCAGTTAGATGTAACATCTAAATCTAAACTTCACCCATATCCACCTTTTGCAAAAGAATATCAATACAAATCTAATATCTAGAATAATTATCTCAGAGTAATAATATTATTTTGGATACTATTCTACTTTAGATATCATTTATGCATAGACAGGGAATTATGATAATAAAACCGATCAACAATTCATTTTAGTTTATTGAAGTTTGGAGCTTAATAAAGGCTTAAGTAGGTGATTATAAATATTTTCCAACGACTTAAAATGTATACTTTTTTTACTTAAATTTTCACATGGATATAGTTAATTCTTTTTTTCGTATTATTTTAATTACCAAACATCAATTACAATACAATGTTTTTTTTTTAAATAAAATTAACTGTCACGAGAACTTGATATTGATGTTAATGGTAGTTGAACGGTTGAAATTGGCTGAGTTGAATGACGTGGTGTATCAGAAATTTTATCTATAAATTAATAAAATTTATGATAGAAAAAAGATAAATGAAATATTTATGTACCTCTTTCTTTAATATGATAACTTCTAGAATATCGAAGATTATAATAAATATTTCCGTTACGTACAACATAAACTAAAGGATTCCATCTAGATAACGAAATAAAAATTATTTTCTTGATAAAGAAAAAGAAAAATACCTTACACAACACTTGTTTTAGCAAATAATGCTGGTATTGTTCCAAGAATTGGTGGAAAATATTTATCATAAATAAAGGCACGAATAATACTTATTATTGCATATGGACTCCAAGCAAGAAGAAAACCACCTTAAGTATATGAAAAAATTTATTTTATTTTTGTTTTTGTCTAAAATATTTATTATTATTATCAATAATGAATATAATAGTGTATGTTACACGACATTCAATTAAATATTGACGTTGACAATACGATTCATTGAAATTTATACGTGAACGATGTCGACGTTCACGAATCTAAAAGAAAAATATTTTATATTGTTTTTATTTTTATTTTAAAATTAATCAAAGAATAACTTACTACACGAAAAGATTTTAAATTCATTATAATAATTATAATAACAGGTATTAGATAAACAAATATAAATATAGTTATATTATAACTAGTTACATTCAATGATCGTTCTTCCCATTTTACACTACAAGATGCTCCAACGCCCTAAATATAAATTATTAGATTTAATATAAATAAAAGCATATCGAAAATCAAACTTCATAGTCATAATTCGACCATCCAATTATTGGAAGTAATGACCAAAATAAAGCTAATAAATAAACACATAAAATACTTATATAAGCATGTTTAACTGATATAACTGGTGTTGTAGACATTCTTGTCAAAACAATATATCTATTAAATAAAAACAACTCTTTTATTTTTTTTTTTATTTAAAATAATTAAAGATTTTCTTTTATACCTATCAATCGAAATTAAACATAAGACATAGATATTTGAACAACCAGTAAAATAAGCTATAATAGCTGATATTACACAACTAACATAAGTAAATATCCATCTAAAATAAAACATCTAATAAGAAAAACATATAAATATATAAATCAAAATTTTAACCTGCATTCCACAAGCGCAACAGCTGGTAATGGTGTTACGCACAAAGCTCCACAAAAATCTGTTAATATCAAACCAAATATAAATATATTTGTTGATGACTGACGTAAATTTTTGTATCGTATAAATGTATATGATAGATAACCATTTAAAATTGTACCAATCAACCAAATAAATAATAAATAATAACCAAGAAGTTTTAAAATATAACATGGTTCTAGTTGTTCAGATGATGATATATTATTAGGCAAAGACATTGATACAATCATTCTAAATAATAATTAATTTTATTTTTTTAGTTATCAGTTTAAAACAAAAAGAGACAGTTGTTACAAAATAGAAAAATGTTCTACAATAAAATGAGAAGATATATGTTAAATCATTTTAAATAAACTTGAGTAGCTTAAGAAAAAAAAAGAAAAAGATTTATTTATTCTTTTTTGTTCTCCATTGTTGTTCTCATTAGAAACATCTTTATAAGATTAAATAACGAATATAAATATTTATTAACCTTCAACAAAATGATTAATATTTATTTTTCAGTAGGCTTTTCTTATTGTTACTCGATTAGTAATTTATAATAAAATGATTAATATTAATGTGATAATGGCTACAGAATATTTTTTTCCTTTTGTATTGATAAGATAAAGATAATGTAATTCAATAAAATCTTTCTGATTATTTGATATCATTTTTTACGTTTTTATTTTATTGATGATGCATATCTGATTACTTACAATTAATAAATAATCAAACTACTTTTCTTTTCTTTTCGTTTTTTTGTTATAATAAAAGAAGTGTTATTCAAAACTCTTATTTATGTTATCTAAAAAAAAAAACAATAATTGAATTCAATGAAGACTCATTAAATATGTATCACTTGAAGATAATAGATGATCTCTCTTCATAATGCATTTTCTACAACAATTAATTAAACACCTTTGCTTGAAAACAGAAACTCAAACTGTTGAACTGTTAATTATAGTATCAAATTATTACCAACAGGTACTTTTATGTGCTTATTCCATTAATTTTCGTGTTGTTCCTGTTAAACCTCTTCAAAAGTACATTGTCTAGTAAACAAATTCATGAGTCTTTATACAATCTAACAAAGATAAATTTGAATTTTCAAAAAAAACAAAGTAGTAATAGAAGAACTTGTATCCATTTCATAGTTGTCTTATTTATATTGAATTTTCTATTCATTCTTCCAAATATTTTCAAATTAACATGAAACATTGAGAAATAAATCATATTTGTTATAAATTGAAAATATATCAAGAAGAATATTAGACAAAAAAAAAATAGAATTGAAATGTTTTAATAATAGAAGCGTAAGTGAGATAGCAGAACAGGAGGGAGATGGGATCCTAATTCTAGTTTTTCGATCTCGATTAGAAGCGGCGCAAAGAGATCAGAGCAGCGCGGTATTTTTTTTACGACGATGACCAAGTAGAATGAATAGCTTTGAAGATCTGCTATTTTTTCTAGAATTTAACGACTCTTACCAAGGACGAAAGTAGATTTGGAGATCTTCCATGTTTCATGAAAACTATCAACCGCTATCAAGCGCACGGAAGGTAGACTGAGGGCGTAAACCTTTTTTTTCTATTTTCATCACCAAAAAAGAACACCGAAATTTTGAAAAGCAGAGATGAGAATGTTACGTCCCACGCCCCTGTTTAATAAACTAACTATTTTTTCTCACAATACTCATGAGAATATATTTCCTCAACTGAAGAACTGAACGATGATACGAGAAAAACTCAAAATTGGTTTTTGTGTTGTTATTGAGGCGATGGTTGATCATCATCTTATCTTCCAATCATCTATTTTATATATTTTGCATAATCATTGCTGTTTACACTACTACTCAACGTCTGATGTAATTATCATTTATTGTTCTATTGTTAAAATAGATCTAGTTTGATTACATTCTTTGTATTATTGTTCAGCATATAATTCTACCCTATAAATACACACTTTTCTTTTTTCATTTATTTTCAATAAACTATATAAACAATACTAATGTATCTTTGTTTGTCGGTGTCAAACCAACATCCATCACCAATTTTCGATAGATGCTCACGAAAGTAAATCGAGGTCGGACAATCCGAATCTGAAGTCAGTTTCTCAAAATATTCAAATCAGTTTTTAGGGTCAAGAGAAAGATTTTTAGAGAAAACAACGATATTTTATTCTCAATCCTTAAAAATTGAGTCTTTTCAACGAAAATTCGCCAGTTTCTCCAGTGTTTTATTGGTCGAGCATCAATCAATAGAAATCGAGTTTTTTGAAAAACTATTCCACATGAGTATTTAGATGCGAACAATTTCTGGTATCCGTTTGAGGAAATTCAACAGTTTAAGAGAATATATGAATACAAATATAAAGGAACAAGGAATTAATTAATGCGAAAATAAAATTGGTTGCTTCAATAACAAATTGAATCTGTTCATATTAGTGATGATTCACTTAGCAAGTGTCAAGACATTATTATTTGAGAACTGGATAAAAGTTACACCTCTCATACAGTTTGAAGATCAAACATCTTACTCGATTTTCATACTCGACCAAGCTAATTTTTTTCATTATGTTTTACTAATTGTTGGCACGAACATCATGAATTATGACTATTAAATCGAAGAAACAAATACGTATTTGATTTTAACATATTCAACAAAGAAATAGAATATTCTATATTTCGAGGATGTGGCTGTCAATTCAATCTATTAAAAATTTATATCGACATAGCTACACAAACCATCAAGATACTTGAATTACTATAGAGAAAAATATATACTAAAATAAATATTTTTTTATTTTGATTGATGTTTACTACCAATACATCAAATAGAAATTCTTTCAGTGATGTTTCTGTTCTGACGAATTATTCAGTCATTCTGTTCAAACATAAAAACCGTTTCCTCATTCTGGATCTAACATTATTTTTTTGACTTTTTGTATCTGACATTCTTCATTCAGACCCATTTTAATTTGACTATTTACTTTTACTCAGTTAATCACAAGATTTCAAAGCGACACTTTTGGAGATAATCCAGTTCAACAGCTAACTGCGAGGAACATTCCGAAGAGATGCTGACGAGCAATTAACTGCTGCTAATTCTAATCTCATCTTTTCATAACACAATCTATCCGCTTTTTAATTCTAATTGTCTCAGAATTTTCTTATTTGAAAAACTTGTTACATCTGAAGCGTTAAAATTATTGACAAAAGTTTTGAAACAGAATTTTTCTAATGAATTATTTCTCATCTCTGCATTTTGCTTTTATGGTTGGAAAATCAGAGTTTTCTTTGATGTTATGATTAGAGAAATCTTAGTGCACTATTCTTCTAAATTTCTAATTGATTCAAAGATTTTTTAGTAAGATTAGTTTGTAGTATCTTTTGCAATCTTAACAATTAACAGTTCATCGGCGCTCGTTTCGTGCATTAGTCATCGCTTAGTTCTCCTTTTACATTAGTCTATTTGAACAACAGGTTCTTATTGTTCATCTATCTATATATATAAAGAAGAATGTCTGTTTGTTTGTTCGCGATTCACTCAGTCCCTGTAATAGCTAGCGTCACCAAACTTTCCACGATTCTTTTCTGGATCCTGGCAAAGGTCGACGTCCACTTTTTTCCCCCAAAACAGTAGATCTTTCGACCAGAAAAGCCTGCCTAAGTTGCCAACCAATCAGATTTGGAGGTAAATGGACCCCAGATTCAAACTCATCACCCTCGAAAACTCATCACCCTCGAAAACTCCCCGCTCCATGAATTCCTTCCAAGTATGAAAATTTGGGTCTGTTTTCTT